GAATAAAAAAGCAAGGATGTTTTATATTGACAGTGTTTGCATAAAGTAAAGAACATTTTAAACACAAATATTTCCAATTCTGCTTAAAATCAAGAAATAATATTTATATCAGATTTTTTTCATTCTTTCAACTTCCGATCAGTAGAAAAAATAACCATAAAATAAGTTTGTACGTACTTCATAAATTTTTTATTCGGGTGTCAAATTTTCAACCATGAAAATTGGAGATACCTATAAGAATAACATGGAAACCCCAATTTCAAATTCAACAGCTTTTCGTTTGAATAAAACTGGCGGATTGTTTCCCTTGCAATGAGGCAATCAATTCAAGTGAGGTAAATATAAAGGATTAAAACAAAAATTGGCTTCTGTAAACGTACTTCGAAACGAGATAGGTTCCTACTGATTGTTTATAAATTCAAATGTTTCTAAAGAAATAATCTCCTTATTGATATTGATGCTGCATAACGAAAATTAAAACCTAAAAAGACATTTGCTCACAAAAATTTATCACAAGTCTTTCCGGTGAGAAAAAGTGACTTATAATAATCATTTAATTTTAGTGTCTTCACTCATCAATAAAACTTGGTTTAATGATTTTGCAATATATTTTTATGTCTTCTGCCACTCAGTCTTAGGTAGCATTGCTACCAATTTATAGATAAGAAAGATTAAAGAAAATTTTAATGTTAATATTAGCCGTTTCCTTATAAGAAAACATTCAACAATTCATATGCCTCAAAAAAGTAGAATTTTTTAAAGTGAGACACAAAGATTAAATATCTGCAACATAATCTCATGGTGCTATAACTGACGTGTTGTATTTTAAGTAGCTATTGTAGAATAAAAGGAGTTGAATTTTTGAACTAACAATATTCAGAATTTGAATTTACAGGTGGAGGCTATTAATGAAAGTTATAACATTAACAAGTAGGTAGTAAGTGTAATATATGGAATTTTTAAAAATTCATAATACAGAAGAAGTGAGAGAAAGTATAATTTTTTGCCAGTAAACTAAATTTGACTTCCAGGATGAGGCATTTGCTCCTTTTACACTAACATCATCATAGAGAACATGAATTCTCTCTTCCCATGTATTCGGTCATATCATTAAATGTTTTGACAGTGGTCTTGCCATGATGGTTAATCAAAGAATGTAATTGTCAAATGATCCAATACTACCTATCTCATTCCTTAGAGAGAAGATGGATTCTGCCAAGCCATTACTTCCCTTGCTATGGCCTAACATACTACCCAACAACCTTCAAAACAATTGGAATAACCAATTATTTACCATAACTTGGCACACAATAAGGTATTTAATCATCCTACTGTCATGCAGTGCACAGGCTTTTTAGTGTACATAGACAGATGAACAAAATTTGTCTACTTTCAGCATGCTACAAATAGTCTCAAATAATAGGTTTAGCAATACAGTTTAGTGCAATGGAGAGGTACAGACTAAAACCAAGTTTATTTTTTACCAAAGTATTTTGAAAGCTTCCATTTACTAAATAAACACCAAGTATCAGTTTGATTATTTCCAGAAATTAACAGCTCTTTCCAATGGTGAAGAAAATCTTGAAATAGTGGGTAGATATAGCTTGTCATTATGAGAATTCCACTGGAATTATTATTTTTTTTAGTTCCTTCTTTTTAATTGTTGAAAGTGGTTTCAAGTCAAACTTTGTCCCCAAATAACACTTTTTTTTTTTAAGAATGTGTAGAGGAAGCACACAGAAAAAACAATTTTGAAGAGTATATCCTTGAAGCTTTCTTCAGGTTAGAAAAAAATTAAAATGGTCAATATTGACTAATGTCCTCATCTGTGGTGTTATCAAAGTTTCAGTTTTCAGGTAGGTAACAGTTCGGGTATTTTGAACTGAACCCTTTATTCAATCTACAATGAATAGATTGCTTTGCTGTCCATGGATATCACAGCTTGTTCTCATTTTTAGTACTACACAGTTATTACTAGCCATGTTTCCACTGAGTTTGTACAACCCAAACAAATGACTGAACTCACAATTACTAATTCATGAACCAATGCTTAAATCCCCTAAGATAGCAAATAAAGTAAGCTTAAGCAGATACCAGACAGATAGAGAGATAGTAAGACATAAGATAATTGCAGTCATTATGAAAGGAGATGCGAAAGGGCTTTATCCAGCAATACACTTAGTGACTGCTGCTGATGAGCAGGCTTGCAGTAATTTCAAAGTGTCAAAAACGAGTCTACAAATTACTTTAGGTTTAATTTTGTCTATAGAAAACTTTTATCACTCAACACTCCTTAACTTCAGAGTTTATGGAAAAAAATACTGATAGATTCATTGGAATAGAACCCTAATGGTGATAAGCATAGCTTAGATGAAGAACAATGAGGATCAAACAAGCTTGCTAAGCATTTCAACATTGAAGTTCCATATGAAAATGTACCACCAAAAGGATGCTTTCATTCCAAAATGAAGGCAAAAATAAAATTTTTAAAAAAGATATTGTGAGTGGTTTATTTTTTATTCTGAGTGGTTTACCCATAAGACTTAACTGTATTTAACAAAATTACTTCCGAAACATCCATTTTCGAGTTTTGCAAAAAAAAAAAAACATTTTTTCCGGCAGCTGTTTTTTTGTTTTTTAAATAATGTTATCACCATCTTCCATCAGAACAACTTTTGTATACCAGCTCATTGCAGCAACAATCTTCACAAGTTCTTTGTTCTACAATTAATTTAAAAAGTCTTCTTACAAAAAGGGTCTTGTTTTAGCAAATTTTCTACTTTCATTTTTGTTATACGAATTATGACCCTGTTTTATGGCCTCGATTCTAAACTTTTACCAAATTTATTTTTTGAGTTTCTATTTAAAAAAGTAAGATTTGGGATGAATTTTTTTCATAATTTCACTTTTTTTTTTACTGAAATGACATCTTTTTAGGTATTCCTTTTTTAATATAACTGCAAAAATGATTCACGAACACATCATGACTAGCTATCGGAAAATGTTTTCGCATAGATTTATAATAAAATATAACTTATTCACTACAATTCATTCATTACTGAATAAAGTACTAACTAAAATTTCGTTTGAATCGGATAATTCCCTGATTTTTGGCAAATAAAACAGGGGGTAGTGATTTTTTGGTTTCATTTCAGAAAAAAAAAAAAAAAAGAAGAAAAAAGTTTTCATTGATTGGTGGTACCTAAAATAAAGCTTATTAACTTTACTAAATAAACCCAGAGACAATAGTTTAAAATTTTTATAAACTTTTTTCCCGTGTGCTCACTAAAAAAGAAAAAAAAAACTTAAAAATAAATTCAAAACTTAAAGGAGTTTTCAAATTAGACAAGTAGTTTTTTTAAACGTCAAAAATAAAATAAACTACGATTATGGTTAATAATGGCTCTTTTTATTAAGGAAAACTTGAGAAAATCCTAAAATGTCTGTCTCTAAAAAGATTATTATTAAAAAAGTAAAAAAATCATCTGTAGCTGTCTAGATAAACATTTTTTAAAATCACTTTTTTGTACGTGTTCATTGTGGACCTCTTAATTGGTAATAGACTTATTTACAAATACTTTATTTTACGATAAATACTAACAAATAATTCTTCTTCTTAATCTTATAATTAAAAAAAAAAAATAGCCGCGGGACTAACTCGGAGTCTGTGTCAGTCCTGAAGCTTAAGAAGTGTTGGTTTATGTAAACACCGTTGGCGTTAAACAAGAAAAGAAAATGCTCCTATAATAAAAATTGAAAACTTTCCCGGTTTGAAACATAAAAATTATGGTAAGCCTACCGTACGTAGAAGGGAAAGTTGTTAAGAAAACAATAAAAAGCGAATATCATCTTCGCTACATCAAAGAAAAACTAAACTTGAGAAATGGCTTCGCCGATGACAACGCTTAAATTTGTGACGTCGGCGACTTTCCAAAGCTTTACACTAGTAACACATGTACCAGGGACTTCCTTAAATATACATATATAAAGGCTTGAAATACAAACTAAGTCATTACAACATAAAACCGATAGAATTAATGTAAAATAATTAAACTAAAATATTGCCCACGTGGAGTAGAGTCGAAAAGATTTCAAATGGAAGAACACTTGTTACAATGATTGTAATTGAATAAAAAAATGATAATAGTGATACTACTAAAAAACGTAAAAGTTCAGTCGAGTTTATCTTAAAAATGTTTATAGATATAAAAACAAAGAAAGAAAGTTATGAGTTCTCACTTTCTTTTTTTAATTATGAGAAGGAATTGTTTAGGAATGGTTGTGTAATGCCCGTAATGGATTCGGTATTTAAGCTAAAACAAGTTTTTCAAAGAAAAACCATCACGGGTGTCTCACTGAAAGCTTAACCTTCCTTATGTACACGAAATCGATTATTTTTAAATTATTTTTTATTACTTCTTATCCGATACTCAATTTTCACATTTAAGGACATTTTGAACTTTTAAGTTTGTGGTTTTTTTTTAAATTTTCGATAAGAGAATGACGCTCCCTTGTAGCCCTCAAGGCTTTTGAGGTGGTAGATTTTGTTTAAAACTGTAGCAAAATAAATAAAAATAAATTCAGTTTTGTATAATTATTAAAAAAAAAAAACAAAAAAACAATGGAAAGTGAAAAAAAGATACGTTTTTTTTTCTCCTCCTTTTAGTTTGTCTCCTTTTACTTTTATCGTTAAATAGTTAAAATACATTCATAACACCTGGTCAGATGACGTTATCTTTGCACACACATAACCATTCTAAATCTTTTTTCTTTTTTTTGCTCCAAACAAGTCCTTTCATGCACAAAAAAGTCACTGAATGAAAAACTTAACAGTAACACTACTCATGCATATCAACTTACACAGTTGATATACATACAATTTCCAAATTTTGACACCAAAGTAAGTATTTTTTTTTAATTAAATTTTACAAAAAAAAAATACTAGTACATATGTGAAATAACATTACAAAATAAAATTTAAAAGAAAAGTTAATACGTACACACAGCAGTCAATGGACAACACAAAGTATATGTAAGGAAAATAACTATATTCCCGCGAAATTCATGTACTATATAAAATTGGAACGTATTATATAACTGAAACGAAATGTTATATAATGATTTATTTTTTTAGATAGGACACACATTGGTTATTTTTAAAGTAAGCTTTGTGCAGACTCCGTTGTAATGAAAACAGACAAGGTCTGAAGCAACACATTGTCTCAGAAATCCAGACAGAAGAAAATGTGACGACTTCATCATTGTAACATTTATTTTTTTCTGAAGGAACTGTATCGCTAATTAATTAATTTATCACTTCCTTTGGTTGGAATTATCATTCTTTCTTAGGGGTACTAACAAACCAGTCAAAGTAGATATTATTCTTATTAACTCTTCGTTTTTTTCAGATTTTTTTTTCATTTTACTGTCAGCGTAGAAAAAAATAAATTTAAAAAATAAAAAACGACAATCATTTTTAAAAGTTGATAATTTGAAAAAAAAATTTGTTCATTTTTTTAATAAAATATTTACACAAAAATAAAAAAAATGCTGTACAGAAGATAAACAATTTTTTACTTTATTTTTCAAGCTTTGTTTATTTTAATAATTTTATGAGAAATTCGAATTTAATTTTTAAACGGATTTAGATTTATATTCCCTATTCCATTTTTGCATATTCCTTTCATCATGTGTTTGGATTATAAATTTTACATTTACTTAGTGCTCATCAGAAACACTTTTTCTTTCTTTCTCTTTCTACCTAAGATGAGGGGAGATTCAGATTACCTAAGACTAAGAGAGAGCGGAGAAAGAAAACATGAAAGGAAAAACCGAGAGAAGAAATTACATGATTTTTTTTATTATATAAATAAAATTTATTACTTGTAGTGTAGTTTATAAGTAAATAGCCTATGTTTATCTTTAAACTTACGTTTTACGAAAGTTCATTTACTTTTTAAAAGAAAATCAGACATATGAAAAGAAAGATAAATTTGCGCATATATTTTTGTAGACTAGACTGTAGTTAGGTATTAAAACACGAGTATATTCACTCGTCACTTATCAACTCATCGGACTGCCATTATAGACGAAAAATGTAAATTATCAAATTTTAAAATTTACAAATCCAATATTTCTCCGAGGGGTGTTTCAAAATCAATTAGTAAATTTAAAAATTTAATAACTGGATTCTAAACGTAATGTTTACTTTTTGCTTACAAACGCTTATTTACGCACAGTAGCCTGTATAGGCCAACAACAATAGTTTTATTCCCTATCTTAAAAAAATCCGCAAAGATTTTTTTACAAATTATAAAGTTAAAGAAATACAGAACAGTAGCAGTGCAATGATGAAGAGATTGATATTTATGTTTAAAATTAAATTAACCTTATATAACCAATAATTTAAGAATATATTTTCTTATACGCTTTCATGAAACTTAGAATTAACAATTCATTGAGTTTTATTTTCCCTACACGCAAGCCGGGCCTCCGATGTCATTGCCAGCTGTACTTTGGTGGCGCCACCGGTGGGGCTCTAGCGGCCCGCCAGTTGTAATATTGCCGAGATGAACACGCCGGCGGCCCGACAGCGGAACATCAGCGGTAAATGCCAGTAGCATGCTGTAGTGGACGCCTACGTACACCACGCCCACAAATTACTCAACAGTAATTGGACGGAAAATAAACAATATCTTTTGTACAGACAATTTACGCATCGCACGAGCCACATAAAAATTTCTCGTGTTTTTGCTTAACTAGCTATAGAAAAAAATCAACGATTAGTCGAGGGCCTTGGACTGATCTAAATTGATCAGCGCGGCTTCACCGTCGACTTGCTCGATGATCAAGCGTACCATATGAAGGCTGTCCCGAAAAGTCCTGCCCTTCACAGCACAAGTCTGTTCGGAGCCAATCAGACTAGAGAGGACAGCCTGCAAGCGGTTCGCTAAGACCTTAGTCAAAATCTTTAACTCTGTGTTCAACATAGTTAAAAGGTGAAAGTTGCCTAACCCACCCCCACCATTTTTATCCTTACGTAACAACTTGATTACGCCCCTGGTGAAGCGTTGAGGTATAGACCTCAGCGCTTCCCAGATTTCCGGCTCTGTGATGGGATCCTCGCATCTAGCCGCTTCAGCTGCCTTGAGGCAGGGAAAGTCGGCTAAATAGGCGTCGAACTGAGCTGGACTCAGCCCGGGCTCCCTGGTGAAAAGATCCTGAAAGTACTCACGAAAAGCCTCACATATGCCCTCGTTTGTAGTCACGGTCCGCTTATCCGGCAATGTGACGCATGCGATATGTCGCCGAGATGCACTCCGAACCTCCTCTGCCCGCAGTTCAGCGGTCATATTCGTAGCCTCAGAAAACATTCTTTTTAACCTAGCCCTAACTACCAGAGCGCCGCTAATCTATCTAGATTGAGCCGACGACTATAATCAGCAGCAAATGTTCTAATTTTAGATTTAAATTTGTCCCACCAGGCATTTCCCACCACAGCCCCGTCAGTTCCCTCTGTATCATTACTAGCAGCTGGTCCCGGAAATCTTGCTCACCAAATAATGAGCAGTTCAATTTCCAGTAACCAGCCATGTTAACCTTAGGCTTATCTAAGTTTACCTGGACCCGGACTAGCCTATGATCCGAATAAACTATATAATGGAAACTTGGACACCCTAAGAGCCCTACATCGACTCTCCTAACTAAGACTCGGTCGAGGTAGCTAGAACGCACCTCGGTAGCCGAGCCGCCACTATTAGTCCAAGTCCACACTACCTCCCGAGGGTGTTCATTTCGGTACTTATCGACAAGATCAAACTTGTCGATAAAGTCCCGAAATAATTTCACCTCCCGGTTGTTAGTACCCGAATCTGACTCTATGCGATCTATAACGGGGTTAAGGGTGGCATTCCAATCGCCCGCTAAAACTACCCGACGAGATGACGCCAAGAACGGCTCGATCTGCCGAAACAAAGCAGGCCGCTCAAAATGCTTATTGGGCGCATAAACCCCAATGAGACGTAGAGCCTTATCCTTTATGGTAACATCCAGCACGCAAAGTCTGCCCGCCGGATCTGCGAAGACAAGAGCACACACAGCCTTCAAGGACTTGCTCACTAGCCAAGAGACACCCCTCGAGCGTCCATCATAACATTCTGAATAGAGGGAAAACCCCCTAGACAGAATGTTGTCATGATCACGAGAAGAAAAACGGGTCTCTTGTACACAACATACATCCACCTCAAGGCGCTGAAGATCACGATAGAGCCTCGCCCTGCAAGACTCGGATCTCAGGCCTCAGACATTCAAGCTAACTAACCAGAAAACCATAGTGAAAACAGATTAGGGTTGCTCTCCAGGATTGAACATGGTAGGGGGACAGGACACCGATGGCCTCTCCCATAGAGCCAGTACCCATCTCATTCTTGATAGTGCCATCAGGAGACAGGCCACCAATGTTCAGGGGGAAAGTTAGTTTAAAGGCTCTATACAGGGAGGGGTGAACGAAAGGCGGGAGCCTCCCTGTACAAAGTTGATTCAGTTTCTTTTCATTTTCCTTATCAAAATATGCCAATGGCGGGTATACGTCAAACGCGCTATTTGCTTCACGTGCCCAAATATTTTCTGAGCCATGTCCCGCTCTAACCACAGTTAATACCCTTTTAGCTAGTGGGAAGTTTCTAGGATCTTCAATATCCAAATTATTGATCTTCTTTAAATTTAGAAGAATTTTTAGGTCTTTCACTTTACGGGATTGTGAGAAAAACCCTGTCGGATTGATATTTTTCAATACGACAGACATCTTTCCTCCCTTATTGAAAAGAGTTTTATGTTTAACTTTTTATTCCTTGACCGGCTCTGAAGTGTCTAGTGATGGGCTTCGTTGTCTCTTTTGGGTGTTATAACAGGTGATCAATGTGGAGTTTTGGACGGAGTGGGGGTTTTTAAGGGGGATTTAGAAGGGGATTTTTTCTCAGTGGAGTTAACTTGGAAAGCGACAGAGTTATAGTTTGTAATACTAGGGGTGGGGCCATAGGGGACAGTTTAGAAGATGGAGATAATGGAGCTGATGTGGATTTACTTATAATATTTGCAGGTTGTTGCTTGATGGATTCCTTTAGTTTTAATAGTTTTTCTTTTTTTTTTTCAAATGACGGTTCATATTTCAGGTGCTGTTGACGAAGTTTTTCGACGTATGTGGTCGAAGAGTCGCCCTGTACTGGTAGAGGGAGTGGGGCTGTGTGTGTCATTCGCCGTGGGAACCTCTGTGGAACGAGGTCCCGCTGCCCGGAGCTTCCCTTTGACCTTGCTAACGACCTGCCATCCCCCATCTTCCTTCTCCGCAACTGCACTAGCGACGGGCAAAGGCTTTTCGGGGAATGGGGGCTGAGAGACAGACCCAACCGGGGGTCTAACCACACCGGTCCCGGTCGCAGGCATGCCCATACAAGCGAGACGGATGTAACAGATGCGGTCGCAGGGGGATTTGGGTCAACAGGTGCCAGACCCTCAGAGGCCTTCTTCTCTGTGCAGGAAGAGGACAGGTGACCAGTCTGCCCACACTTCCAGCATGTCGGTCTACGCCCGGTGACGATGATTGGCATCCTCTAGCCCGCTACATCCAGACAGTTGGGGATGGAGGTGAAGGCTTTCCGGTCTATCATGATCTCAAAACTCCACCCCCTGGTCAAATCGTCAGAGGAAGCACTAAGTATCTGTCCAAATTGGGCCAGATAAACAGAAGGCAAAAGAGGAAAAGTTGAAGGTGTCGCTAAGTATTTATAATGTATGTCACGTGAAAGGTTCGAAACACATAGACAGATTTTTGGCGGTAAATTAAAAGTATGATAATAGCATTAATTGACCAATCAGGAGTCAGAGAAATATCGAGGCTCTGTGATCCACTTTGGTGTTTAGTTTGTACAAAAATTGACGCCAAAAGAAAGTGGTGGCATAACGCTAAAATCATATATCGTATTACTCTTCCGAAAAGAAATAGTAGTCAGTAAAAAGGAAACAACATTTGCAACTGTTACATTATTTTTTTTTAAATATAAAAAAAATAAAATTCTTTTAAAAAATAGTTCACACTCGAAAGTAGCATCAAACTTTATATCTTTCGATGTCTTTATTTAATAAAAAGAACTCATGCTATGAACAGTAACGGGATGAATTTCACAATCTCACTAAAATATTATAAGTATTTTTTTTTAAATA